GCGGCGCCATTGTAACGCCATGGCAATACCATGGTGATCCTATAGCAACACCATGTCAACCCTACAGCAACCTAACACCATGGTATCGTCATGGCGATGGCACTACCATGGTAAAACAGTATAGCATTATACAACAGTTTAGTAACCCCATGGTAACGGCATGTTAGAGCAAACAATATATTAGGTACAGTTACAGTATTGCTTTAGCACGTGATATTACCCAAACATCAGCATATCAATATGATAAGGTCCTGATGGGCAATGAGAGCCATTTTCATCTGCTGGTACAGAGAGCATCACTTATTTACACTGTGTGTACAGACTATCTAAATACACACACACACACACACACACACACACACACACACACACACACACACACACACACACACACACACACACACACACACACACACACACACACACACACACACACACACACACACACACACACACACACATACACACACAAACACACACACACACACACACACACACACACACACACACACACACACACATGCTTCCCAGAAGCAGTGAAATGGATAAATGTCCTAGACATTGTATAACAGGATAACAAACAACAACGATTATACAACAACAACGATGATGTCATAATATTAAAAGAACAATAATACAATAGATAATATAATGAACACAGACAATATAGATGATAGTAATAATAATATGAATAACAATGATATTAGTTTAAAAGGAAAGTGATGCTGATGCTGAGAGCAGGGATAAAGCTGTAGGAACCAGGGCCCAGATTCACAAAACCTTCTCAAGAATACATTTCTTCTTAACAGACATTTTTTTCCTTAACTATAGACTTGTGAAGAAAGTTAGTCAAAGTTGCTATTCTTCAAAAAGGTTATTGGAAATATTATTGCGCTATTTCTTATGTTTCTCCTTAAGCAAAAGGTTAAGAAGAAATGTGATTCCTGAACATTAGGTTTTTGGATTTGTTCTTAATTCCAAGATGGATAAACCCTTGTTTTAAACTCAGGGCAGTGAGAGAATAAGCTCATGAAAGCAATTGAACATGTTTAATTCACTCACAAACTTCATCTGAAAGTTTCAGTATTGATTATATTAAACCTAAGAACATGTTTTAGAACAGTAATCTCAGTAGAAAATATGCTAACATGATTGCCATTGCTAGCTAGATAGCTAGCTAAATCGGTTGCCTAGCAACAAACATCTTAAGAAGATTCGTAAAAAGATATTTGAGGAGTTTGTAAGAAAATCATTAAATCTTAAGATATTGTTGAGGAATTGCACTTATGAACTATCTTATGAACTGTATTTTTTTTCTTAAGCAGCTTCTTAAGATTTTGCGTAAGAAGTGTTTTGTGAATCTGAGCCCAGATCTGTCTTCAAGTTCAATCTAGAACATTCCATATTCCTGGTTCTAAATTCTAGATTGTTCAGTGTCACTGGTTCAAAGTTCTAGATCTCTCCGTATCCATTGTTCCATGTTCAATATTGTTCAGTGTCACTGGTTCTACATTATAGATTGTTCTGAATCTCTGGTTCCAAGTTTTAGATCAGGGTTTCTTAAACTATGGGTCGGCACCCAAAGTGGGTCCTGGGCATGTGAGAGGTGGGTCGCGAGTTATAAGAATACATCTATCATTACACACTATTTATTCTTAATTTGGGTCGTTGGAGGACGATTTGGGTCACGAGAGGACAGTCAATTTCTCATTTAGGTTCGAGCTGAAAAAGTTTAAGAATCCCTGATAGATTGTTCCATATTTCCTGGTTCTAAGTTTTAGATTACCAGTCGTTGTTCCCTGGATCTAGGTCGCTGGTTCCAGAACCCTGGTTCCTAGTTCTAGGTCCAACTAGTCTTCCCCCCCTGCTTCCTCGGTTCCCTGGTTCTAGTTCCATGGAACTAGCCCTTTTGGTCCAGGTTCTAGGTCCATGAATCTAGGTACAAGCTTCTAAGGTCAAAGGTTCTAGCCCTCCTTTTCTCCTGTGTTCTACAGCAGCTTCTCTCTGGTCCTCTGGTACTTGGGGCCGTGCTCCCTGGCGTTGTAGCCCAGCCTCATGCCCTGGATCCTGGGGTTCAGATCTTGGTCTCGGGGCCTGGGGGGTCTGGAGGGTGGAAGGAGGAGCGGATCCTCTGGGCCTCAGAAACACACAGGTGACCAAACACCTTGTTGTACCACTCTGGAGACCTGCCCCTGGACACAGCAACAACATACAGCATGGGTCAGTACTATGAATACTAGAACACACTGACTAACCACCCACGGGACCCCAACCCCCAAAACCCCAACTTCTCGACCCGCAGATTGGGGAGTCTGCCCCCCTTTTTTCTAGAAGGTACTTACTCTAGACCCCCCTGACTGTTTTCCCCGGGCTGCGTCATCAGGTCCCAAACACAACCAAAACTGCAACCCTTAAAAATGTCCCCCACCTGAAAGAGGAGAAGAGGGGGAGAGAAGAAAAAGAAAGAGGGGAAAAAAGGGGGAAGGAAAAAAGGAGAGAAAAACGGCCCCCCTTTTTGTTATTTTTTTTTAAGTGAAAAAATTTGGCTTCCTTTCCCTTTAAATTTTTAAGTTTTAAAAATTGGGGAAAAAAGGGGGGGAAAAGGGGGTGGGAAAAAATGGGGTAAAAAAAAGGGGAAAAAAAAAAGGGGGTTTAAAAAAAAAATTTTTGGTTAAAAAAAGAAGAAAGAGAGGAAGGGGGAAAAAAATTTAAAGGAAATTTTGAAGTTAAAGGGGTTTTACAAAAAAAGGGGGGGAAAAAAAATTTTGCCCAAAGAACCGTCTGTGAAAAGCCCCGTAAAAAAGGCTGACCCTCCCCTCCCCAAATGAATGCCAAAGGACAATTTCCCCTTTCCCCACTCCCACAGACGAAAAAAAAACCCATTTTGATCCCTTTATTACTTAAAAACCCACGTGTCCAAAAAAATTGGGGACCCCCCAAAAACAACCGGGGGGTTTACTTCTTTTTTTAAATATTACCGGGTTTTTTCCCGGGGTTTTCTTAAAACAATTTTTAACCCCAACCCGGGGCCGTTTTAAAACTGGTACCCCCCTGGCCCCCCCCCCCCTTCCCTGGGGGGGGTTGGGGCCGCCCTGGGGGGTGGGGGAGCAAACCGGTGAAGGAACAAAAAAAAAAAAAACCCCCCTTCTGTTAAATGGTTTTTTCAAAAATTTTTTAAATCCCCATTTTTTTTTTTTTTTTCCCATTTGATTTTAAAAAGGGGCGTTAAAACACTTTTTAATTAACATTTGAAATTTTTATTTTTTTAAAAATTTTTGGTTAAATTTTATGTTAGGTATTTGTTTTTTTCCTTTTTTTTCTACTACTTCCTCTTTTTTTTTTAAAACCCCCCGAAAAAACCCCCTTAAATTTTTTTTGGGGAAAAAAGGGGGGGGGGGGGGGGCCCCCCCCCCCCCTTTTTTGGGGGGGGGGGGTTTTTTTTTTTTTGCCTTTTTTTTTTTTTTTTTGGGGGGGGTTTTTGGGGGCCCCCGCCCGGGGGGGGGGGCCCCCCCCCCCCCCGGGGTCTTTTTTTTTTTCGGCCCCTTCTCCCCCCCCCTTTTCCCTTTTCCCTTTTTTTTTTTCCCCCTCCCCCCCCCCCCCCCCTTTTTGCCATGGGGGGTATGAAAAAATTTTCTTTAAATTTTTTTAAAATTTCCCCCGTGCATTTTGGGGGTTGGGCATCTCTCAATTTACTGGGGGGCCCCTCCCCCACCAAACCCCCCCCAAAAAATTTTCCCAGGGGGCCTCCCCTCAGCAGCCTCTCCAACACCTCACTGGGTGGGGCACACACCTCCACACACACACGCCACCGCCGCAGTGGGTTACCATCACCCACCTAGAGTAGAGAGAGACACACACACACACACACACACACACACACACACACACCACACACAGGCGTTAGGAAGAATGTGTGTGCGTAGGTGCTTACAATATAGGTATACAATATTATAATATGTATGCGGTGTGTGTATCATGTGAGTGTGTGTTGTGTACATGTTAAGTATGTAATGCACACCTTTCTGCAGGCCAGTTCAGTGTGGTTGGTGGTGGACCGGGACACCCATCCTTTGCTCCTGTCTCTGGCCTCCTTAAGTAGTCCCTGCACCAGCACCTCCACGTGTGTGTGGTAGGATCCTTCCTCCTCCTCTTCCTCCTCCTCTTCCTCCGCCTCGTCGTGTGTCTTACACAGCTCGTCCAGAGGGGGTGCTAGTAACTCAGCCTCCATGTATGAGTTACGGGACCGGCTCACCATGTCCTGTGGGATCTGAACGGGACAGGAGAACTGTGTCAGCTATGAGGTATATTACATTTACATTTTATAGTCATTTAGCAGACGCTCTTATCCAGAGCGCTTACAGTTAGTGAATACATATTTTTTTTATACTGGCCCCCCGTGGGAATCGAACCCACAACCCTGGCGTTGCAAACGCCATGCTCTAGTCAACATGAGCTACATCCCTGCCGGGCCATTCCCCCTCCCCTACCCTGGACGACGCTGGGCCAATTGTGCGCCGCCCATGAGTCTCCCCGGTCGCGGCCGCTGCGACAGAGCCTGGATTCGAACCGGGATCTCTAGTGGCACAGTTTGCACTGCGATGCAGTGCCTTAGACCACTGCGCCACTCAGGATTACTAAGGCTGGGTTTACACAGGCAGCCACATTCTGATCTTTTAACCAATTATTGGCAAAAGAGCTGATCTGACTGGTCAAATGGTCAATTAGTAAAAAACAAACATCTGATTTTGTCTGCCTGTGTAAACGCAGCCAAACAGTAACAATAGGACTGGTTAATTACGGCCAGGATTGAAACAAACTGCAATGTGCCGACAGCACATTACCCTTGACTTTCAAATGTAATTCATGCTTGAGCCGACATCCACATTGTTTACCGCAAAGGCGATCTCCTTGAATGTCAGGGAAATGATCTTTAAATGTACAGTGTACTGTCATCACCTTGCAGTATTAACTAGTCTATGAAATACTTCTTAACAGAGATGTTAAGATGAGATGTTTCTCACCTCAAACAGGTGCTGGCACTCAGTGATCATGTGAGCCAGGCCCTGTGTGGCAGCAAGGTTCTCACTCAGGTCCTTCTGGTCCGGCTGGCCTGTAGCATACTTCCTCTGGATCGACCTATAGGAGGAGAGGAGGGGAGGAGTTAGTGACAGAGGGAAGGAGTTAGTGAGATGGTTGCAGAGGGGAGCAGGTGGGAGGAATGTTATGCCACATTAAAACTAAACCACATTGTTATTGCAGTACAGGTCAGCAGATGTTCTGTGTATTTATGTGTGTGTGTGTGTGTGTGTGTGTGTGTGTGTGTGTGTGTGTGTACCTGGGGGACAGGTTGTCATTCTTCAGTATGTTGAGGTGGAACAGGGAGGGGCCGAGACACACAGCCAGGTTCATAGGGGTCATCTGGTTCTCCTCTACACAGGAAGTGACATCACACAGGAAGCAGAGCAGCGTCTGGAGCACTTCCCTGTTCTCGTCTGACATAAGCAAGATGGCCGCTCTCACGGCCTGCAACCTCTGCTCCTTAGGGACATCTACAGGGAGAGAGGGAGAGAGAGAGAGAGAGAGAGAGAGAGAGAGAGAGAGAGAGAGAGAGAGAGAGAGAGAGAGAGAGAGAGAGAGAGCGAGAGAGAGAGAGAGAGAGAGAGAGAGAGAGAGGATGAGACAGATAGAGGGAGGGAGGGAGGGAGGGAGGGAGGGAGGGAGGCAGGCAGGCAGGCAGGCAGGCAGGCAGGCAGGCAGGCAGGCAGGGAGGGAGGGAGGGAGGGAGGGAGGGAGGGAGGGAGGGAGGGAGGGAGGGAGGGAGGGAGGGAGGGAAATATGCAGGAGAATTAGGAACATACAATGATTTCTGTGTTTCAAAAATTGTGGATATACAAATCAGTAGGGTGTCCAATCAAAACGCATCTTTTGACCAATGGGTAAAATATGGCAATTGTTTAGATACTCCTCTAAGAAAACCAACGGTCTCTATCATAATCTGTTCTAAAGTTATTGGAGATTTTACCCTTGTAGGATGATGGACATGAATCAGGGTGACTAGATCACCCAGAGGAAATCAGGAAAATGTCATCTTGTCAGCTAGGCTGGATTAAGGCTACTGGCTACCTGGCAGGCTCACTTTCCCGTTGAACTCATCATCTTTCTTCTCCAATCCGCAGGACATAAAACAATATAGAGGTAAGATGGATATATCGATTTTGAGACACGACATGAGGTATTTTCTTATTTGAGTATAAGCTTTTCATATTAATTCGAAATCCCTTTTATTTTTCAAAGATTTCTCCAAAAAAACAAGCATATCTCGGTGAAATGTCAAACGGAGCACTGAACGTATACCAAGATTTTGATTTTCAAAGCCTTTTACATTTCATTCAGCTCGTGTCATGCTAATGTTGCTTTTTGCGACCCACGGAAACAACTTTGAAGACGACAACCACAAAATGTAAAATCCTGAAAAGTTGTTATGACAACCCTGCACCGCTTTGTCAACAGAGCTTGGTGCTTATTATCGGATGTATTAGGTTACGAAATCCAACTTTTTGGATATAATGTTAATGATATGTTAGAGAAAGACCCCACTGAATGATTCAGAACATGAATAATCATATTCGTCTTGGTAAAATGTATTTTATAACACAAGGAAGTAAAATGTCATCACTGTAGCGCTTTTTCACCCACTCTGGGCAGAGTGGGTGGACACCTTAAAATCAGTCATACAAATCAAGGATATTTGAATTGCATTGAGCTGAAAGAGAGAACTTATGGATCAAGGGTGTGTATGTGTGTGTGTGTGTGTGTGTGTGTGTGTGTGTGTGTGTGTGCTTCCATGAGTGTGTGTGCATGTGCGTCAGTGTGTGTGTGTGTTCTTACACTGGTATATATGGAGGAAGGTCTCTCCCAGCTTGCTGGTCAGTAGAGGTTCAGGAAGGTCTCTGAAGAACTGTTTAACCATGTCTGCTACGTCGTACGCTGACTGGTCCTCGTAACACACACTGTCAGGACTGGACTCACACTCTTGTCGCAACGCCTGGATACGAGACTTTACACCAGACTTACGGAACAGACCCACCTAGGAGAGGGAGAGAGAGGGAGAGAGGGAGAGAGGGAGAGAGGGAGAGAGGGAGAGAGGAGTAGAGGGAAAGAGGAGTAGAGGGAAAGAGGGGGAGCGGGGAGAGTGGGGGGAGAGGAGAGAGGGAGAGAGGGAGAGACGGAGAGAGCGAGAGAGGAGTAGAGGGAAAGAGGGGGAGCGGGAGAGTGGGGGAGAGGGAGAGTGGGGGAGAGGGAGAGGGAGAGAGGGGGAGAGGAGAGCGAAAGCGTTACACTACTGTCTCAATGCCCGGATACGAGACTTCACACCTGACTTACGCAACTGTGTGTGTGTGTGTGTGTGTACCTGGTCGAGGCAGTGCATAGTGAGATGTCTCAGGGCCTGCTGTAGACAAAGAGGTAGGGGGTAGCCACAGCGCTGTGTGTGAACGATGAGGGGAACACCAAACACGCTCCTCTCCCTGTAGTCAGGGACCTTCATCCGCTTCATAAACTTAGGGACAGACCTGGGAGAGAGAGAGTAGAGGAGGTGAGTGAGTGAGTGTGTGTGTGTGTGTGTGTGTGTGTGTGTGTGTAGTGTGTGTGTTATCGTGATCGTGTGTGTGTACAAGCGCATGCTTGCATTCATGTGTGTGTGTGCGTGTACCCACCAGGTCCAACCGTGTTTGTTAGACATGGAGTAATTCTCCATGATGGCTGTGAGTCGGAGCAGAGAGAACTTCTGGAGCAGGCTGAGCTGGCCTGCTGATTGGCTACTGATCTGCAGTGCGGAGCCTGATTGGCGCAGACGGTCAGAGAGGCGGAAGCTCGGCCACCGCAGACTGGAGGAAGGAAGGGAGGGAGGGAGGGGGGAGAGAGAGAGAGAGAGAGAGAGAGAGAGAGAGAGAGAGAGAGAGAGAGAGAGAGAGAGAGAGAGAGAGAGAGAGAGAGAGAGAGAGAGAAATGAAAGACAAGAAATGTAATCTCAGAGAGACTGACCAGGATACAGTACGTAAAGGTTACATTAGAGAGACAGACACTCACCGTGGTCTGGTAAGGGAAGCTCCTACTCCAGAGTCTCTCCTCTCTCTGGTCCCTGTAGACTCTATGTCATTCAGGGAGACCCCATCTCTCTCCCCCTCACTGGGCGTGGTCCTCCCATCTCTCTCCCCCTCACTGGGCGTGGTCCTCCCATCTCTCTCCCCCTCACTGGGCGTGGTCCTCCCCTCTCCCTCCCCCTCACCCTGCTCTCCCTCCCTCTCCTCACCCCGCTCTCCCTCCCCCTCATCCCCCGCCCCACCCTCCGGCAGCACGCCGCGACTCCAGTGGTCAACAATCTGCTGCAGCCCGCTGATGTGACTGATGATGTCATCCAGGTGGGGGAACAGGTTATCGTCTCGGTCCGCATCCAGCAGGTCACCTGTGGATGCGTACAGGTGAGACCCGGGGACATTGTCATACACACTGACCCTGCTGCCCCGCGGAGCTCCAGGACAGGGGGGCTTCTTGGACAGAGCCCAGGGGGAGCCTTTGCTGGGGTGGAGTGGGGAGGGAGAGGGGTTCTGGTGCTGGTGGTCAGTGGCCGGGGCTAGGCTCTCTATAGACAGGGCTTTGGGGAAGGTGCCTGGTTTATGGTTCTTGGGGATGTGGACCAGCAGGTCCTCGTAGGAGCGGTAGTGGTTCCTGCTGAACGGGCTCTGTTGTGCTTCAGTCCTCCGGCCATGGGGGGCGCCAGAGAGCAGCTCCATGTCTTCCAGATACATACTTCCTCTTTTAGGCCGAGGCTTGGAGACAGACTCCCTCACACTGGGACGCATGTAACTCACACCCTTGCTGCCGTTGCCGTGGGCGATAGGGGACGAGCTTTCGTCTGATTGGTGGGGAGGATGATGACTGTCCTCTGATTGATTGATGGGAACACAGTGGAGTGTCTGTAGCGCCTGGGGCTCCTCCCCATGTAGGACCGGCCCACTGATGACGAGCGGCGCCCGTCCACTTCCTGACTTCCTCCTGGAGGACGGCCCCCAGGTACGCATCATCTCCATGCGACGCAGGAAGGCCTTGGCCGGACTCCGCCCACCCTGGCCGTGACGGCTGCTTTTGATTGGTAGAGAGTTGTAGTGGGACATGTCTCTTGGAGGCTGGTAATAAAAAATAAAAAAATAAATAATAATAATAATACATTTAATCTATTTTGTGCTTTTCAAAACTCCTAAAGTCACTTCACATAAAATACATCAGCAAGATTAATAAAAAATCTATAAAATCACACGTTAAAATCAACAAAACAAAGACACAGGCCGTGTTCCATATGGCACCCTATTCCCTACTAAGTAGTGCACTACATATGTGCCCTATGGACCCTGGTCAAAAGTAGTGCACTACTGTAGTGTGTTAACCTAAAGAACTACACGGTTAATTATTCTACTGCATTACTACGGTTACCATTAACATTGATATGTGCAGGTTGCCGTATCAGGGGCAGGGTCATTAAGGCACGTCAATTCGTTCTGTTATTATTACTGGACAAAAAATATAAACGGAACATGCAACAATTTCAAAGATTTTACTGAGTTACAAGTCATAGGAAATCAGTTGTTCCAGGCTTTGATTTTTCCAAATTACGTTTTGAGGTTGGACTTTAGCACGTTAGAACGTAGGGCGCACCGATGGGTGTCACCTCGTTAGTCAGTATGGGTTACACCTGTGCTGGCTTGTCCATCTCGTTAGTGGGAAGGTGGTTCACCTGTGCTGACCCAGGTGCTATTTAAGAGAGGCTGGCCCAGCGCTCCAGTTGTCTTGAGAAATGTGGAGGGTTAAGACCTTTAGTTCCTGATTTGATTTGTATAAAAAACTTACTCTGCGTTTCCCTATTTTTGTTTTGCTCAACATTTTTGTTTTCTTCCTGTCTTTAAGTTTGGTTTTTCTTTTGTTTGCCTCACATAACATTTTGTGGGCGCTCCTAGTCGGTGTCTTTTAGGTCCCAGTTTGTCACAGATACCTTAAAAAAAAAATGTGTCACGTTATCTCTGTGCATTCAAATTGCCATTGATAAAATGCAAATGTGATCGTTGTACGTAGCTTATGCCTGCCTGCCCATACCATAACCCCACCGCCACCGTGGGGCACTCTGTTCACAACGTTGACATCAGCAAACCGCTCACCCACACGACGCCATACACATGGTCTGCAGTTGTGAGGCTGGTTGGACGTACTGCCAAATTCTCTAAAATGACATTGGAGGCGGCTTATGGTAGAGAAATGAACATTTAGTTATCTGGCAACAACTTTGGTGGATATTCCTGCATTCAGCATGCCAATTGCACGCTCCCTCAAAACTTGAGACATCTGTGGCATTGTGTTGTGACAAAACTGCACATTTTAGTGGCCTTTTATTGTCCCCAGCACAAGGTGCATCAGTGTAATGATCATGCTGTTTGATAAGCTTCTTGATATGCCACACCTGTCAGGTGGATGCATTATCTTGGCAAAGGGGAAACGCTCACTAACAGGGATGTAAACAAATCTGTGCACAAAATTTGAGCGAAATAAGCTTTTTGTGCATATGAAAAAATTCTGGGATCTTTTAATTCAGCTCATGAAACATGGGACCAACACTTAACATGTTGCGTTTATATTTTTGTTCAGTGTATTAAACTTGATGCTAAATATCATGGCTGCGTCTTGCCTCACATGTTAATTCATTCTGTACATGTCAATTCATTCTGTTATTAAACTTGATGCTAAACAGCATGGCTGCGTCTTGCCTCGTTAACATGCCACAGTAGTTATTGGCTGCGAGCTATAAAAATTGACTAAACTTGGGGGGCGGGGACAAAAAGGTTGTCGGTATGGTCCAGTTAGGACAAATGAACGAATTTAAACCTGACGTTGAGTTGAACCCATGGAACAATACATCGAAGCTAACTACGTCGAAGAAGACAAGCATGTAGCCATATCGCTAAGTGTACAAAAACATATGGACTACTACGAAATCTGGTTAAACCTAAGGATAAAACTTTTGATGAGATTAATGACATTCTAAAGGGACACTTGGAGCGAAAGCCATTGCTGAAAGGTTTCGTTTTAATCACTGCATTCAAAAGGCTGGTGATACAGTCAATAGGTTCGAGCAGTGTGCGGTTGCATTGTGAGTTCGGGGCAAATTCCCTGCGTGACAGGTTTGTTAGCGGAATTCGGAACGAAGCATGCCAAAGGAGGATAGATAGATAGACGTTTCGCGAGGGCTTTTGAGATCGCTCCGAGCGAGGAAACAGGGACTGTAAACAGCTGCACAATATGGACAACGAGGGAGCTGCAGCGAGAGGTCAAAGTGCAAGACAACAACCCACTGGGCACAGGCTGATTGAATCAATGTTGTTTCCACGTCATTTTAACAAAATTACGTTGAACCAATATGGCTCAGTTGATAGAGCATGGCGCTTGCAATGCCAGGGTTGTGGGTTCGATTCCCACGGGGGACCAGTACAAATGAAAACGTATGCACCTGCTCTGGATTAGAGTGTCTACTAAATGACTAAAACGTAAATGAATAGACGTTGAATTTACATCTGTGGGAAGGATCAAAAGAGGGAGGTAAGAGCCATTTGCCATTTCAAAGATGGTAAATAACAAAGTTGGCAAAGTGGGGCATGTTAAAAAGGCATGTCGAGCAAAGACACAAACTCAGCCAGAAAGGTAAAAAAAATACTACTAAGTGGCGACAGTTTAGTAAAGGTTGGTCAGGTGCCTTTTTACTGAGGAGTGGCTGAATATGTTGAGGAACCAGAACTGTCTCTTTCTCTACTGATGATAACAAGCTGTCATTCAGAGCAACGTTTACTGTGGATAAGAGGAGAAATACGGAAATTGACACTGGAGGTTGCAGTAAGCATCATTTTCACAGGAACTGTTTGCGAGTGCATTCCCACTGCCACTAGAGGGCACACACGTCAAACTAAGGACTTAAACTGGACATTGCTGTAATTGGACAAAATGGAGCAACGAGGATCAAAGTGAGAATCTACCAGTCATAGTTGTTAAAGGAGCTGGATCAGCTTTATGTGGAAGGAACTGGTTACAAAATCTGAACCTTAACTGGAAACCAATCAAACGTGAGTACAACTGAAACGCTTGAAAATGCTAAATCTATTCAGAAGGTGTTAGAGATGCATGCTAAAGCATTACAGGATGAGTTGGCGCACTTAAAAGTCATTAAAGCAACTATCCTAGTCAAACCTGATGTGCCTTCTATGTTCTATAAGAACCGCCCCATGCCATTTGCTATGAAAGAGTAACAATAGCTACAGAGACTAGAGAAGGCCGACATACTCACACCAGTGAAACATAGTGAGTAGGCCGCACTAGTAGTAACAGCTGGACAAATATATATTTTTTACCTCTATGGGATCGGTGTCCCGTATACGTGTCAGTTGAGCTAACGTAAGCTAATGTGATTAGCATGACTGTTGTAAGTAACAGCAAACTTTCCAGGACTTAGACATGTCTTACATGGGCAGAAAGCTTACATTCTTGTTAATCTAACTGCACTGTCCAATTTACAGTGGCTATTACAGTGAAAAAAATACCATGCTATTGTTTGAGAATAGTGCACAACAACAAAAAACTTATCACGGCAACTGGTTTGATACATTCACATCTGAAGGTAAATAATGTACTTACATTCAGTAATCTTGCTCTGATTTGTCATCCTAAGGGTCCCAGAGATAGAATGTAGCATAGTTTTGTTTGATAAAATCAATTTTTATATTCAAATGTAGGAACTGGGTTTTACAGTTTGAATCCCTGCTGTCTCTGGCTCCACACCCACCCCGCCCGGCCATCTAGATGTGTGAAAGTTAGTGTATAAGCTAATGATCCATCATGTATGACATTCCTGGGAGTGTGTAAATGTACATTTTGTATTACCATATCATTTTTGTATGTTCTCTATAGTTATGTACTTGAAAATGTTTCAATTGACCAATTCGGCACATTTGGGCAGACTTGATACAAAATAGTCCAGTATTGCAATGCTTCACTGGATCAATCTGAAACTTTGCACACACACTGCTGCAATCTAGTGGCCAAAACCTAAATTGCGGCTAAACTGCAATATTATATTGTGGCCTTTTTCTTGCATTTCAAAGATGATGGAACAAATAAATAAATAGAAAACGCATGTTTTTTTGTTTGTATTATCTTTTACCAGATCTAATGTGTTATATTCTCCTACATTAATTTCACATGTCCACAAACTTCAAAGTGTTTCCTTTCAAATGGTATCAAGAATATGCATATCCTTGCTTCAGGTCCTGAGCTACAGGCAGTTAGATTTGGGTATGTCATTTTAGGCGAAAATTGAAAAAAAAAGGGTCCGATCCTTAAGAGGATAATGAATCGGAGGTGAAAGATTTATGGCTCCTCCCGGACCAGGCCCAAATCCACGTCAATCGCATGAAAAGGAGAGGCCGATACAGGGGCCGCAGATCTGGGTGCTCAGTGAGAATTAGTCGGCGAGTGGATAATCCGCCTATACCATCCGTCCAACTGGCGATTCGCTGGAGAATAAAGTGGATGAGCACCGTTCGAGACTATCCTTCCAACGGGACATTAAAAAAACTGTAATATCGTATGTTTCACTGAGTCGTGGCTGACCGAGGACATGGATAATATACAGTTGGCTGGTAAGACGAGGGGTGGTGGTCTGTGTGTAGTGTGTCAACAACAGCTGGTGCGCGATCTCTAATATTAAGGAACTCTCGATTTCTATAAGCATGTCACGTGCCACCAGAGGAAAAAAAACTCTAGACCACCTTTATTCCACACACAGAGCAGCATGCAAAGCTCTCCCTCGCCCTCCATTTGGAAAATCTGACCATAATTCTATCCTCCGGATTCCTGCTTACAAGCAAAAACTCAAGCAGGAAGTACTAGTGACTCGCTCAATACGGAAGTGGTCAGATGACACGGAGGCTAAGCTACATGTTAAGCTACAGGACTGTTTTGCTAGCACAGACTGGAATATGTTCCGGGACTCATCTGATGGCATTGAGGAGTACACCACGTCAGTCAACGGCTTCATCAATAAGTGCATCGACGACGTCGTCCCCACAGTGACCGTACATAT